TCCTAAATCCTACAGTACCACCATCATCCCTCCAGGCACGTAGGAAGAAGGAAGGGAGAAGGAACCTTCCAGTTCTGCCAGGAAATTGAGGCAGAGCTGGAGGATCCAACTGTTGGCTCCTTAAGGACAAGTTGGGATGGAAGCCCAATCCAACCTTCTTTTTATGGAGCAGTTAATGTGATAACATCTAAGAGAGAAGGAAACTTTATACAGACAGAGGGAAATCTTAATTCTCAAACAGACCAGAGGCAATTACCAAAATTATAGCAATGGAATTGTTTTTTTGCAGTCAAGCATAATTATGGAAAGTCTATTGGAAAGAAAGCTTAGGCTACGATTTGCATTTCAATTAATTTTCAAACCTTTGTGTGGAGAATTGATGGCCAGAATCGAGAAGTACAGGAACTACCAGACACTGAAATACACTCATCAATATAATATAGGATTTCCAAGGATACAACTCAGACAATGTTCCAGCGCTTAGGGCTTTTTGGTTTTTTTCCAATTAGTAGAAAATGGATAAAGATGTAGAGGGAAAGAAAAAACCACCAGTGCTACCACCTGGCTCTGCTGGGTGGTACAACAGGACAAGAGGCAATGGGAAGAAACTGGAATGAAGGAAGCTCCACCTGAAGGAGAGGAAGAACTTCCCTGTGAGGTGACCATGCACTGGAACAGGCTGCCCAGAGGGGGTGTGGAGTCTCCTTCCCTGGGGATAGTGAAAACCCACAATCCCAGGGGGATGGTGGACACAATCCTGGATTACCTGCTCTTGGGGATCCTCCTGGAGCAGTGAGGTTTGTTTAGATGACCTTTGAGTCCCTTCCAAGCCCAGCCATTCTGGGATTCACATGCAGCTGAACCACTGCACGATGGGCACATCCAAGGCTCCTGAGAATATTTTCCTTCCTGAGGTTTACCAACAGTGCCCAGGGCTGACAGCAAACCCTCGGGATATCATCCCTGCCAATCTGACAATCCCAAGTTATCACTTCCACACGTTAAAAAGGAACATTTCTGTCTTAAACTATCTGCAAAGTTCTGCCCAATTGCCTTACAACTTTATTGATTATAATTGGCTCTTGCTCCTTCAGCCCAAGAATTTCACACAAAATTCCAATTACACAATCCAGCATGAGACAGCCAGAGATACAGACCCTCTAACAAGCTTAGCAAAAATCAAAGGGCTAAATCAAAAACTGGCTCACACCAAGTCTATTCTTTGTGCAGTCAACCAAGACTAATTAATGCTTTTAATGGCAGTTTACCCCTTTTGGCGCCATAAATCAGAGCAGGCAGCTTTTCTGAATTAACAAAAGAATCTGTGAAAGGTGTAGCTCATTAAGCACACTCCCAAATTCAAATGCACTTAATCAGAACCAGGTACATTGAGCAGGACTGTAGTCCAGGAGCAGAGCAATCTGCAGGCTGTACACAGGGAACATTCATTCATCAACACAAACAAGGCTGGCACGCCAGGGACAGGGGCTGAATTATACATCTGAGAGAAAGGCCCCTGCTTCCAGCATGGCTTTTGTGAGGGCAGGAATGTGGAGAACTCTGTGGGAAGGCGCTGTGGAAAGGTGGGGGGGACAAGGAGGATGTTTCCCATAAGCTCACCTCAGCCACAGAGCCCTTGAACAGAGCACACTGCTGCTGCTGAGCTGCTGGAGCAGATCCAGGCAAGGCACCAAGGAGATCAGAGGGATGGAGCAGCTCTGCTGGGAGAACTGGGATTGTTCAGTCTGGAAAAAAAGGTTTTGGGGTGACCTAATTGTGACCTTCCAGGACCTGAAGGGAACCTACAGGAAAGATGGAGACAGACTCTTTACGAGAGCCTGGAGTGACAGAACAAGGGGGGCTGAAGCCTTCTCTCAAACTGACAGACAGGTTTAGATTGGATCTTGGGAAGAAATCCTTCCCTGTGAGGGTGGGGAGGCCCTGGCACAGGATGCCCACTTAAGCTGTGCCTGTCCCATCCCTGGCAGCATTCCAGGCCAGGCTGGAGTACCCTGGGATAGTGGAAGGTGTCCCTGCCCATGGCAGGGGGTGGCACTGGATGGGCTTTAAGATCCCTTCCAACCCAAACCATTTGGGGATTCTAGGATGTACCTAAATAAGCTGTAATAGATCACATAGGGAAACTTCCTCCTTGTATAAGGTGATGAATTTATAAAGATTAATAACCCAGCATTTCATCCTAGCTAACACTCTTGCAAATGCTTTTCTGAGTCAGACCCACTCCTCTAAAAATTCCCATTTTAAAATATTTTTTGCCACAGTTTCTTCCCAATATTCCCATCCATCCCTGCCCTCTGGCAGTGGGAGCCATTCCCTGTGTCCTGTCCCTCCATGCCTTGTCCCCAGTCCCTCTCCAGCTCTCCTGGAGCCCCTTCAGGCCCTGCCAGGGCTCTGAGCTCTCCCTGGAGCCTTCTCCTCTCCAGGTGAGCACCCCCAGCTCTCCCAGCCTGGCTCCAGCCCTGGAGCAGCTCCGGGGCCTCCTCTGGGCTCTCTCCAGCAGCTCCAGGTGCTGCTGATGTTGGGGGCCCCAGAGCTGGATGCAGCACACAACTTGGCTTGACAGGAAACATTTTCCATATCACATATTCTCTGAAAGGAATTTTGTTCTCCAAAACAGAGCTGGCAATGCAGGAAAACTTCAGATCTGTGAACAAAGGATTCGCTCCTGCGCAAAAAAATTTCACTAAATGATGTTCCCAACAGCATCAAAGTGTCCAAGAGCTGCTGGCAAAATGCTCCACTTCAGCTCTGGATTCAGTACATTCCCAGCCCAGTGAAGACCCCACCAAACTGGCAGAAATGCTCAGGAGATTTAAAGTCCAGAAATTTTCCACATGAGTTCAGAAACGGTGAGGAGCAGAAGTATAAAGTCCAGGCCCAGTTCCAAATTCCACTCACACACACTGGATAAAAACCAGCCTAATGTAAAAGCACATTTAGAAATATTTACATCAAACCAAACCATTACAGAGATAAGAGAGGCATTTATAGAAACACATGGATTTTACACACACACCGTGTTTAACTATTTAATTTCTGGAATTTCAATTAGGATGTGGGGGAGTGGGGTATTTCCCAAGCAGGAAACAACCTAAGTAAGCTAAGACATAGAGCACTCACACATTCAAGTTTAACTCAATTTCCTCCACATTTTGATTTCCGAATGAACACTGATTCTAACAGGGAGGGGTTCAACTCAAGATAAAGTCACCCAAAAGTAAATATTTGCTGGAGATCCCCAGCAGGGCTATCACAGCCTGGAGAGCAACCTCGATCTGCTTGGTCAGCCAAGTCTCCACAGGCTCCATCAATTCCATTCTTGAACTTCAAATTTCTTAATCTGGAGCTGGATTGGAGCAGGAGCCCTTGGAGCAGGAGCTTTCTTATGCAAAGCCAGCACTCCACATATTCCCACTTGAGACACAATCTGGTTCTCTGGATCTCTCACCCACCACTTCCAGTCTTACTTTGTGTCCCTTCTCCCACCTCACCACCCACCAAACCCACCCTTGGCTTTGCTTCTGCCCTTCCACAGCCCTGGATTTCTGCTTCTCAGATCCCAAAAAAGCTGCACAGCCCAAATGGGGAAAACCATACAGAAAAAAGGGATGGGAGCAGCTTCAAAGTACCTTTTTTTTTTTTTTTTTTCATTTATCCTTTTTTCTAGCATGAAGAGGGGAAAAAAAGGGGAAGCAGGAGATGGACAGGGGATCACTGTTGTTGCCTCAAACAAGGAAAAGCTTTTCTGAAATCCTTGGCATTTTCTGTCCCATCCCACCTAAGCTGGGGTGGTAGGAGAGGAAGAAATACCCAGATTTTGTCTGTACCCAAAGAGGAGGCATTGATTTAGGACAGCTTTCCCAAAGCAGGGCTGGAGTGCTAAATTATTGTGAGGATAAGGGTCAGAGTGTGCCCAAAGGTTTGATCCCAACGCAGTGCAGCACACACAAGAGCAGCTGACATTTAAAGTTCATGTCATTAAGTGAGCAGCAAAAGATATAAAATGGAAAAAAAACATAGAGTCAAGCCTGCTTTTTCCATATTCCTGCACAAGAACAGCTGGATGGGGTCAGACAGACACTTCAGCACCCCTGTGTCTTCTCTGCCCAACAGGAAAGTGTGAATCCCTGAGGGAAAATCGAAGGGCAGGCACACAGGGACATTTTCCCAGCATACTTTCCAGAGGGATTTCCTGAGGGGATATGTTCTTGTTTCACAGCTCCTGTAGATCATGTTCTCTCACTGTTATAACATATTAAATTCTTTTACACATATATATATATATACATAAAATATTTACATATATAAAAATATATGTACATGCTCTAAAGGCTTGACCTGCTCAGGTCTCATCACGCTGGGCTCTATAAACCAAAATAAGGAGTTAAGATAGAAACTGCTCCAATGAAATTACACTGCAAAGTTTCTATTTGAAAATACTGTTTCCAGCTTTCTTCTCCTAAGAAAGAGAAACTATTAGAAAACAATTTGCCTGTCTCCAGGCAAATGACAGAAGTTTACATCAGGAATGGTGTCTGTGCCAACCCGGGGATTTTGACCCAGCTAATGAACACAAGTCTCCTTTTTAATAGAGAGCAAAAATGTATTATTTACTAGGAAGATATTAAGACTAATAAACACTAAAACAAGAACCCCTCCCACAATTCTTTATAGGAGCAGCACATAAGTACTGTGTGTTTTACTCAGGCTGCTGAAGACCTGATGTTTATTAACTTTCTAAATCAATACAATAAAACACACCAGGCACAGAGTGTTGCTGGAGCTGCAGCTTATGCATTTCTTGACCCAGAAATCACTTCTCATTTGAAAATGTAAAGTGCTTCTGTAGCAAAGTGAAAGAAGAGTATCAAACAGCAACAGCTGCAATCTCCAAGGCTTTCCTGTCTGGAGGGAGCAGGGAAAGGGTTTTGGGAGGAGCAGCTATAACTGAAGGGCACAAAGACAGGATGAATTGGTACCTCTTGGATACGAGCTTCCTTGGGATGGAGATAATCCGGAGAGGAGTGTGCCTGGGCAGGGAGTCTTCACAGCATTCCAGAGCTCTGCGGCAGCAAGGACAGACAGAGAGAGAGAAAAACACCCGTGAGGCTCTGTGGAAAACCTGCTGGAACAACACAAAACACTCTTCCAGCTCAGAGTGGTCTTCACCTCCACTGGAGCAGAAGGAGGAATGGGACATGTAAGAAATGCAGGCAAAAAAAGGAGGAGCGCTGGAGCCGCAGGATACGAGGAGAGGGAAGGGATACCCGAGCTGGCAATAAGACCAAGGCCTTCCCAGCTTCCCAGAGAGAGAAAACAAAGTCCAAGCTTTCATTTAAATATTTGTTTACCAGCTATTTGCCAGGATTTGGGACTAAACAGGTTTTAGCCTGAGTTTTACATGTTACTCCTACATCCTCCCTTCCCAGCTGACACAAAAGCTCTGAGAACCGAAAATGAAATCCCTCAAAATGAAGTGGAGCACCCAAAAAAAGCTCCACATGCTTTATGCATTATAGGGAGGAACAGAAACCCTACTGTTCCCAAAGCAGGACCAGCTCCTTGGAACAGTTGTTTATTTTAATCAACCCAGTACCAAAAGGTTTACATTAAATATTTTTTCATGGTTTCTAACCACTGATCCTGTATTAGTTTACATTCACTCAAAAAACACTCTGGGGGAGAAAGCAGGAGGCAGAAAACATTGAATCCAGTAAAACAACTGAGGTTTTTTAGGGAGTGCTGGCACATCCCACCTTTCCCTGTAGAATTACACCACCAGACCCTTCCAGCCAGCTAATGAAACAGCATGAATTTGTAAATGAACAGAAAACAGTAAAATCTTCATTTTTTACTGAATCTTTCTTCTTCTTCCTGCCTCCTGCAGGAAGCCACCACCTGCCATCAGAGATGGCATCCTTGGAGGGAAGTCAAAACCCACCCTGCTGAAGCTCCAATGGCCCAATAATCCCAACCCTGGTGCTAGCAGGAGCCTGAGCACACTCAGGAAAACGGGTCAGGAACATCTCCACCTGTTGCTTCCAAGGGTGTTTGACTTCAGTATTTTTTCATTATAAGAAGCATATTCATTGCTTGGAATTTAATTCTGGTTTCGGGCTTTTTGACTTGTTTTTATGGCCCTTCAATTCAGAGATAGAACCCTAAAATATCTTCAGGAGAGAGAGGAAAGCGTAAGTGAATTTCAGCAGAGACAAGGACTTGACAAATCTCATCCCATCAAGCTCTGCAGTGGCAAATTAGTCTTTCTCAGAGCACATTCTGTACTCAGAGTAGCCTCAGTACTTCAGGAGGTACCAAATATAACACAGCCCCATTTTAACTTCCTTCCAGGAATACACACACTCATTTATTAAGAAGACGTGGGCTGCAGCTCCACTTCCAACAGCTTCAGTAGCATTTTGTAAAATTAAACAAATTACTCCTTTTGTGGCAAGTAAGAAGCTGAAAATAAGTGTTCAAGCAAATGGGGGAGAAAACCACCTCCTTCACATCTTCCTGCCCCCTTGGATTTTGGGAAAGCAAGCCTTGCCTGCTGCACCAGGCTCAGCATCAGCCACAGGATCACCAACCACTCCTTTGCTGCTTTCACACCTCAATCCCCACACCTTTACCATCATTATTTCATTTCAGAGCTGCTCTGATGCCTCAGTTTGCTCCAAGTCCCCATTTTGGGATATTTTCACATCCTCATGTTTGTATAAACCATGGAAGCCCACAGCTCTTGCTGACAAGCACTAAAGGTGAGTGTCCAATGGTGCTGAACATCCAGAGGGTTTCCAGGATTTGGCAGGAGGACAGCACTGCCACAACCTTTAATGCTGAGGGATTCTCCAAACATTCCCCCTTTTGTTCAGCTCTGGCTGCTACAGAGAGAGAGAAAAACAGTCCCCACCTCTCATTAACCTTGGTGCTGCATCTTTCTTTAGCTGCAACAGCATCAATACCTGCTTGCATTGTGCTGCCACTCAGCAGATTAACCCTTTTTGGGAATTTTTTTTTTGCTCCTTCTCTGTCTTTTCCTGACCAGAAGTCAAAATGATTCAGTTCAGAGGGAGTGGATGCTGCTGCTGCAGAGAGAAGCTGTGAAAAGCTGCAGAGAAGGAGGCTGTCCAGCTGCCAGCACACATCCCTGCCACTGCTCAAAAACCAGCAGGGAACAGGCAGGATTGACCAAATTTGGATGTATTTGCAGAAAAACAATCAGTCCCAATCAGTGTCTTTGAGGAGGAGTGAAAAGACATTCATTAAAGAAGGAGAAAAAACGAATGAATTTGTGAGAAGGTAAGCCTTTGGAAAATCTAGGGAAATAGCACAGCGCTGAGAAGTCCTGTTGGCACAGCCTTGCTCATCAGGAGTGTGATCTGGGATTTAGGCAGGGAAAACTTCAAGAACACAGAAAAGCCAGCCCTGCCTGCCTGTGGGGCAACCCGTGCCAGGGCCTCAGCACTCTGACAGCCAAGAATTCCTTCCCAATATGCCAGGTAACCCTGCCCTCTGGCAGTGGGACACCACTCCCTGTGTCCTGGCACTACAAGCTCCCATAAAAAATCCCTCTCCATCCTTATCAGGTTAAGCAAAGACACCAAAGCAGCTTCCCGCAGCCCAGAATTCCTCCTTCCACTCCCACTTTCTTCTTGCTATGAAAGAGATTAGATCCCTTAATATTTCCTAGGATTACTGCAGCTACTAAGTAGGGAAGCTCGTTCCCCAACATCTTCATCAGCTCCATGTGCTATTTCAAGCAGCAAAACAAGATTTTTAATTCTATCCTCCCTCCTATGCCCCAAATTTAGTTTTATTATTTTTAGTAGCTGCACTTCACTGATGATCTTTTTACAATTATTCTTCTATATTTCTCTTTTAATCCCTTATTTTCCTTCTTTCCACAAACTTGGACTCCAGTGGTAGGAGCTGGGTAGACAGATTATAAAATAGATTGGATTGAGTTAATTAGGATGTGGTGATTAAAAACCTGCTTTGGTAGATTGCAGAGGGTTCTGATAAAATAGTATAAAAATACACTGCACAACTGCTTATCAAATGAAGATAAAAACATTCAGCAAATATCTGACATTCTGCAGGGTTAAATCCTATTCCATAACATTTTGGGTTTAGCCCTCTGAGTAACCAAACCCCACAAAATGGAAAAGGGAAAAGTTCCCCAAAAGTCAATGTTCACTTTCTTTACTGCCTGTTTTCAACAATTTCCCCAAATTTCTTCTAGAATTGACTCTGGAATAATTATTTTCACTTGTGCAAGTTATATATTATAAGGCACCTTGGGGTTTCTAAGTCACAAATGACTTTGTAATGAAAAGAAAACAATTTCATTATCTAAGATTATTGTTAATTGAAGGAAATATTGACTCTGCTACTGACAGCAGTCAACCTCCAGAAAGTGCAACATTTAAAATTACATGCAGCCATGTCTTAGAAATAAAAATAAACCTTTCAGTGAGAGCAGCTTCAGTGAGGACTTTTCCTCTATTAAAAAAATAAAATAAAATCAAAGCAAAACCCTCCAACAGAAGCCTTCCCTGCATTACAAAAGAGGGATTAATGAGAATCTATTTGGACACTGGGAAAAGCCCTGGCAGGTTCATTGTGAAGGTTAATTCAGACACCTTTACTCACACATGGAATGGAATTAAAGAAACAGAATTTAAAGGCAATAGTGAAGGCTGCAGTGTCAAGCTATGAGCAAGGAGACACCACAGAGAGGATATCAGAGACATTTGTCATGGAGCCTAATGCACTTAGGACCCAAATTCTGGAAGAATAGGGCAAAATGTTAATGAATATATACAAATTATCCAGAATGGGTCTGAATTCCATTCTGCTCAGGGCACATTTTTTAAAAAAAACAAACCTAAAGATCCACCTGGAGCAACTGGAAGTGAAAACATCTGTGCAAATACCTAGCAGGAAATAAAGGCATGGAAAGAAATAATTTTGGAAGGCAGAGAACATTGCAGGAAACCACAGGGTCATTCCTGGCTGGAAGCACCTTCCTGTCTTTCCTCTCCTTGAAAACTGGGAGTTGCCTTTGTGCCATCAGGAGTGGCCCAGAGCTGTACGAGACCTGGGTGAGGGGAGGGATCCAGGTTAAAAATAACCTGGGTTTGCTGCTCCCTGATCTGGTTCACCAGCTGGCCCTGGGAGAGCTGGAGCAGCAGAGCCAGGGAGCCCAGCACTGGGAACAGGCACAGGAGGAGGGAAGCTCCCAGGGACAGCTTCACCCTGGAGTCAGGAAATACAGGACACAGCCAGAACTGGGATGGAGCAAGAGGGGCAGCACCAGCAGGAATTCACCCCTGGATTCCCCAAACACTGATGATCCTCAAGAGGGAAAGGCTCCCAGGGCAGCTCCAGCTCCTGAGCTTCCTCCTCTCAAAGACCCATCTCCAGCACTCAACTGGTGGAAGAACTGGAATTGCTGGGAATCACCAGCAATGGCTTTGGCCACTCAGGAGGGGAAGGAGTTTTTAAGGAAGAGGGTGAAAAGGACCACGTGCTTCAGCAGAACCTTGCACACGTCCACCACGGGAAAACCTCCCTCCAGGAAAACTCCATAGAACTCAACACCTCCAGGTGTGCAATGAGCTTCTAAAATTAGATAGTTCTTGAAACTCCAGAGTAATAAATATCCCAAGACCCTCCTTCATTTTTTACATGCAGGATTGAAGTGAGAACTCAAGAGGCAAGAAAAGAGATGAAAGTATTAAACTGGCAAAGTTGGGCATCGTCCTTTCTCCAGGAACATCCTGTTGGCTCAGCTCCCAAGAAAGACAAGTGACACATATCAGGACTCTGAATGTCACCTCTGACCACACCTCCCTTTGACATCACTTCCACTATATCCTTAGAGTAACTTTCCCACTTGGAGGATGCCAGCAGAAGGCCAGAAGGGCAGAGCGAGCTTAGGAAAAGCAGCAAATCCCATCTGCATTTTCACTTACTCACAGTTACTGATTAAAAAAAAAAAAAAAAAAAAAGGAGTCTAATCCTCTGGAAAACTGGAGAGGTTGCTTCTGGAGCCAAA